TACGGAGAATCTTTTATAAATATTCGTTCGTGCGATCGATTTTGTAACGGGGGAATATAATGGAGAAAAACGTAGCATACAGAATTTTTCTCCGATTTTTCGAGATATTGCAATTGCAAATAAATTTTTCGATCGAATTATTATTACTTTGTATTGGAGGAATGTAATTGGAGGAGAGAAAATGATAATGTTTAATAATTTTTTTCTTTTAACTACGAAATTTTATATAATTATTCGTTTTATATAGTTATTTTTCTAAATTAATTCATAAATGAAAATATAAAAGTTATACAATAGTTATGAAATAGAAAATAGAAATATAAATATGTAATACATATGTATATATATAAGCGCATTTTGTCGATAAATTAGACAACGATCGAAAAATTTTGATCAACGCCATCTCGCGTTTGGATCAACGAAGCTTCGACTTGTTATTAATATAGCAGGATATGCAAGGAGGTATTCGTGACGTCACAGAGAAGGAGAGCAACATTGTGCGAGCAGTATAGAGAAAAAATGTCGCCCCACCATTTCGAAGATACTACGTTGAAAAATAATTAATAACTAATTTTTTATCAAAAACTTTTGCACTTTTAAAATTGCATTTCAAAGCTGGAACTTCAAACGAGTTTCTGATGTAAATTTTAATGAGAAATTGTTTTCGATTTATTATTAATTAACGATTAATGTGTCATATACGGATTGATGTAATCGATGTGCAATATATTTTTCATATTAATTTCACATCATTATAAAATTTATTTCTAAATTTATGCATCTGAAATATTGTTTCCTCTATATTACGTATATTTTTTGTCCATAATTATGTTGTTATTTACATAAATAAATCGATTGTTTAGTACTCGATAGATCGAGGATATACTTTATAATAATCATTAATAAACAATTAATAAACTAGAATTTTTTCGTTAAAATTTATACGAGAAAAATGTTCAAAGTTCTAACTTTGAGATGCGAGCTTAAAAATGTAGAAATTTTTACCAATTAATTATTTATTAACAATTATTATGGAATTGCGTATTTTATATTCTATAATTAAACGGTAAATAATTAAATTATTTCGCTTAAACAACGACAAACTTATAAATAAAAATAGTACGTGAAAATAAAAAAAGATATGGATATATTAAATGGATATATTTTTATTTAGAAATAAATCTAATAATAATATGAAATTAATGAAAAATGTATTGGACGTCGGTTGTGTCAATCCGCATACGGCACAAATCCACTTAATAAATAATTAATTAAAAAGAATTTATCGTTAAAATTTATACGTGAAAGTTGTCTGAGGTTTCAACTTTAAGACGTGAGTTTAAAAGTGTAGAAATTATTAATAGGAAATTAATAATTAATAAATTTTCAATATAGCGTTCTCAGTTATTAGAAAGTATCAGGAACCGCATAACCAAAAATAGTGGCACATCTTCTCCATCCTTCTCGCACAATTACCCTCCTTCTCTGTGACGTCACGAATACCTCCTTGCATATTATGTTATATTAATAACAAGTCGGAACTTTGGTGATCCAAACGCGAGATGGCGTTGATCGACAATTTTCAATCGTCATCTAACTTATCGACAAAATAAATTTCATTGACAGTTTATATAGACTAACGAAAGGTTGAAATTCTATAATGTCCAGAAATACTTGTTCAAAAAACATCTAAGTAATTAAAGCAATCGTAAGTAAAAGAATCTATATGTAAATATTATAAAGCGAGAAATTATAAGTATTGGAAAAAAAAAAAAAGAAATTTCTCGAAGAAAAAGAAAAAAAGAAGATAAAAAATATGGTATATAATATTTATTGCAATGTAAAAAATAAATATGTACATGTATATATATTATTATATTTCTACATTTTATTAAATACATATGTGTATATATTTTTATAATGTGCGTGTTATAGATGGATACTCGTGTATATACTAAAAATTATATAGGTTAAAATTCGATTTTATTTCTATTACGTGTGCACATTCACATACATAAAATGGAGACGTTTAATAACAATATTAAAATGTATTTACTTCTGCAACCTGTATTTGAAAAAGGTAAATATTTTACATCGCAAGAATTTCTATTTTTAGAAAAGAACTAAACTTTCTATTCAAAGTTTTAGGTTAACTCAATACTTTGGGTTCCTTTGTTCTCGTAGAAAGTTCGAAATGTACCGGTAGTCCGGCTCGTTCGAATCGAACGATCTACAAGAATCTCGCGAAGCAGTCTCCGATCTCTCGTTTTCTTTATCTTTCGGATACCTGAAGGCGAACGAACGCGATGCTCCTTTCCGCGAAGCGTGGAATGAGATGAGACGGTCGACGAGGAACGTGACGTTTCAGTCTCCTTGAGAATTTTAATTTCATTTCTTATCCGTGCGAGTAAAGAAAAGAGATCCCAAGAACGAAAGGAAGAAGGAGATTTAGATGGAGAGTCAACTGCGCCCGTTTGTCTCGACGTGACGAGAATGGATTTTCACGGACGACACTGAGCAAAGATGATTACACCCCTGCAAAGGGTGTCGGACAATCCGACGTTTTCTCACGCATCTCTCTCCTTCGTTCGCCTATGGATTTCCACTTTTGTGAGCCATCTGCTAGATGCGACTTTGGTCATCGATTTTTTTAAATTTTTTCAAAAATTATTCTTTCAAACATTCTTGTTTTTTCATCGAATTTTTTAAATTCTAGGTAATCGTTAAATAAATTAAATAGCATAGCATGATTGATCGATTATTTTCCAATAATATCCAAGAAGATGAAAATGATAAAATAAACGAAGAGCAGACAACTGGACGAAAAAAATGTACATATAATCCTCGAACTATGCCAAGTGGCATAAAATAACTATACATGATCTATGAGATCTCTTGATTTCAAAGGAACTTTTTATCGTTACGGAATATGCTGCCAAGAACAAAGAGCGATCATCTATTTATAATACTCTTTATAATACTCTCTCCTTCTTCTTTTATTTCGATATAAATGCATTATTTTATTTCGCAATAATTCAAGATCTTTCGCCGTTTCTATCTCCAAAAATCAAATGGCTTACCAACAAGCTATTGTTATTTGTACTATCGATATTATAAACCATTTAATTTAACCAACAATTTAACCAACTTGATGAACAAAAGTTTAAAATTTCATCGAAATATTGTTAGAAATTTTACAAGACAAACTATAATCCGATGAATTACGATGAACGCATAATTGCATAATTAAATCACGCTTCGGTATTTCACAATAAAATACCTTTTTAAAATATATAACAAAGCAGCAACTTTCTTCGACCGGGAATTCTCACGGGAATCGAAGATTGGAAAGGAAAAAAAAAAAAAATCTTGGAACGATCGAAAATATTGGAAGGCAAGTTATTCGTAAGATTTTACCATTAAATGAGAAGGAAATATTCAAAATTAATTGGTGACTAATTAATAGAAACTATAGAGGAGGAACGTCGAACGAGGTAACAAAGAAGATAAAGATGAGTGGTTTCGAAAGAGAGAGAACAAGCAGTGCAGGTGAATGAAACGAGAGTAATGCAACCAATTAGTATGAATTAGCATCAAGCCGCCGGAAACGAAGGTGGGGGGTGAAAAGATGAAGGGGGCAAGCTGTATTCTCTCATCCCTTCGCTTTCGTCGGTAAAATAATTACCGAGCGTCTCTTCGCCCTTGCCACCACCTCTGCCACTACCTGCACTACCACATCACCATCCATCCATCCATCCGTGTTTCCCCCCCCCCCCCCCCCCC